GTTCACCCAGGACAATTTTCTGCGGGTATACCCCAAAGGTACTCGATTTAACTCCTCGAATTACAAGCCATTAATTGGTTGGATGCACGGAGCTCAAATGGTTGCTTTTAATATGCAGGTTTGGTTCTTCACAATTTCCCAACATGTAACATAATGTTAATATTTTGCATATCAAACTTCTTTTTATTGTTGCTTTATTATCTTCTTTTTTTTTTTCATTAATTTTATGCAAAAAGTACTTTTTGCCTGCCTGTGTTTAATTAATAGCATAAGCAATCACATTGGCCTACAATGTATTTTCTTTTGAGAGGATCTTCACTTTTTCAAAAGTAGATTACCCTAGACTTCCCAAGTTTTAATGCTTATGAGTCACTTAGGACCGATTATAGAATATATTTTCTCATTTTCTTGGCAAGCTAAATTTGCTGGTTGGTTGTTGAAACTGCTCTCAAACTACTGATTGAAACAAAATGATGAAAAAAATAAAAGATAAAAACCTGTGTTGAATGTAATTCTTTTTTTTGAATGTGATTCTCTCGTCATTTGTTAGTTTCAGGTTACAGAAGTGAGTCAATTCACTAACCATCAATACTAGTCATGAACACTTGCATGAAAGATTCATATAGCTCAACCAATTGGTTGGGTTATGATTTAATTGAATTAAAAGGAAAACGAAAAAAGAAAAGACGATAATTCTCCATCAATTACAAAAATTAATAATGTGGAAACATTGGTTGCTAGTTGAATAGAGCAGGATGCTATTACTGCACCACTTTTTGTTTTAAAAGTGAGTTCCTATACTTCAAGAAATTCTAAGTTCAAAAGCGATGATATCTCATGTATATATATGTATATATTTTTCTCATTCAAAGACCGACTTGTCACTGTTCCAATGGCAGGGATATGGTAGGTCACTCTGGTTGATGCATGGGATGTTTAGATCCAACGGCGGGTGTGGTTACGTGAAAAAACCTGATTTTTTTTATGACCAGGTGTTTGATCCTAAAGAAAAGTTGCCAGTGAAGAAAACTTTAAAGGTGAGAGCAGACCACTAAAGCAAATGTAACTCCACATTTCCCATAATTTACTCTTCACACGTCTTTTTGTGGTGACAGGTAAAAGTATATATGGGGGATGGATGGCATTTGGATTTTAAACAAACTCATTTTGATTTGTATTCCCCGCCTGACTTCTACACCAGGGTAAGTCTGCAGTACTTCACTAAATTCTTTCCTTCTCAATTACACTAATTACTTTGTGTGAGCTAAATAAATCATGTTTAGATTGTATAGCTGGTGTATATATTTGATCGACATGGGAAATTGCATAAAATAAGCTTAGGCCATATTGCACGGATATATGGGACATTGACTTAATATCAATTTATATTCCACTTATCAACTTAATATCTTGACTTACTAATTCCCAGACTATTCATCTGGAAATTTTTCTATGTGATTCTAAAAAAGTGCCAAAAATATGTATTTAAAAGGCTATTCATTGTCTTAAATTAAAAATCCTCGCTCAGTCATGAATCATGATTGCCTTCGTGCATGTGAATTGATATTTGTAGTCCGTAGCTGTCAAATCCTTGCATTTTGATAGAAATGCAGTCTGCTCCCCCGTATTAGCCTTCCTGAGCATATTGATGCATGTATTTACTGGTCAATCTGTGGGGCAGGTCGGTATAGCTGGAGTGCCTGCTGATGAGATAATGAAGAAAACAAAGAAAAAAGAGGACGATTGGACACCTGTTTGGGGCGAAGAGTTCACATTTCCCTTGACTGTTCCTGAATTGGCTTTACTTCGAATCGAAGTACACGAGTATGACATGTCTGAGAAGGATGATTTTGCTGGCCAAAATTGTTTGCCTGTTTCTGAATTGAGGGAAGGAATCCGAGCAGTCCCCCTCTTTGACCGAAAAGGAGAAAAGTTTAACTCAGTGAGGCTTCTCATGCGGTTTGAGTTTGTCTGAAACTTCTTATATTTAACTGCATTTTCATCTATTTATTTGGTTGGACTTCCCCAGGATTTCGTGCTGGGGCTGTATATATTTTGCGTCTTTTAGAGCTGTTATTTTCATTTGTTGCATGAGATTTTTGTATTCATACCTTGTATTGAAATAAATTTTGTATACTATATTTTGAAAAGTGGAGGTATGCTCCATGTATAACACATTTGCCTCGTTTATTATTTCTCTCGACTTCGCTATATGTTGACTTATAAGATACTTCTCAGAAAATATAAAGTTCAGTAACTGTTAAATCAGTGGTATGGGTGTTTTAGAAGAACCATTGATCAGTTATTAGTTCGGTTTTCGACTTTAATCGAAATCTGGTGATATACTTCAGTCACTTCTGTTAAATGTACTTCAAACAAAATTATACATCACAAGGCCATACTGGATGTGTATTTCTATTACTACTTTATTACAGACAAACCTCAAACAGAAGAAGATTTTGATAGAATATTTGACGAATTAAATTATAGAGATGGTTTGATACATTCGAAAGTGTTGAGACAAGGAAAAAAAATTGTTCCTATACAATGTGACAAATTCATAATTGAAAGTGACAAACAAACTGTCACTGAGAAACTACGTGCCTCAGTCCTACAACCATCATTCTTACTCTATCCATACGAAAAATCTCTTTCTATCTTCACTCCTATATACATATACGTGTTTGTGTGTGTGTGTCAAGGTATGCCTGTGATTGAAGATTACTCAGAGAATGACACCATTAGTATGTGTGTGTGTGTGTGTGTGTGAAAAGGTATGCTTGTGTTTGAAGATTACTCAGAGAACGACACCATGAGTATATATCACTTGCATTGGTTCCTGATCAGAAGGTTCCAAGGGGAGGATATACTGCAACAAGAGAGGAAGTCAGAACATCGTCAATATCATTATTTGATCAATTCTGCTATATATATATATATATATATATATTTTCTGCAATATTTTTAAAATTGTCGCATATATAGGCCAATGCTTAAACTTTTAATTGAATTTTAGATGTTGTGAATACTAACATATACATGTCAATGAGTATTAATTGCTGGCATTGTCTACCAAATTAATTTTGTAAGGTAAAAATATAAAATGCATATTATGATGATTACCAAACTTGTGTTGAACAACAAATCAATGGCAACAAGCCAATCTATCACTATGACTGACCTAGCTTTCTTAGATGTGATGTGATAATAAAATGTAGACTAAGCAGCTGGAAATTGAAATTTATATCATGGTTTCGGTCTCTCTCTTATGTTTGCGATAAGAAAATGGTAAAAGCTCCAAATAGATATTATTATTTTAATGTGTCTATTTTTAATTTGAACACCATTAAGTGAGAGAGCTCACGCAGAAAGAGGAGGTTGTTTTTTTTTTGTATTTGTATTTGTAAGAAACTTTTGAGTTGTTATCTTATAAAGTATACTTGATAAAGAGATAATTGTTGGTTACGAAGTCAAGGGGCTCTAAAAGTCGATCAGGCACGTTTTCTTCTGGACCCTACAAATGGAAGTAACCACAATTACTTTAATAAAGACAGCTTATCTTGGCTTAATTATCCATTATAGGATCTTGGAAGTCGTATCACGTGCATATGTGTGTGTGTGTGTATATATATTATCACGAGTGTAAACTACTATTTAAATCTTTGAATCCCAGTTCACCAATATTTGTTTTAAGGGTACTATTTCCTACCTATCAAACAACTTTTGTAATGACATGTATTTAAGTATGAGGAAAGCCATTTTGTTCCAAGTAGTAGGTTCATCTTTTTATTGCAAATAATATCTGAAGTAATGACCTCTTTTCCACTCTCACCTTGAGCTATATGACCTAGTTGGTGAGCATTCATAAACTGCACTCTGTTTATGTCACACTATATTTAATTCTGTCCTAATTCCTAAAAATGCTATATCCATTTATGTTACAGAGCATCTAGTAGTATTTGTCTTAATTGTCTTATAATTTTATCAAACAGAACACTCTGTAATGTCTAATAGTATTTGTCCTAAGTGTCTTATAATTTTATCAAACAGAACACCTGTAACGCGTTTAATCTTTGTCATGGTAAAATCTCGATTACTCTAAAAAATAGCCCTAATTTTGCGTACCCTAAGTAAATCTTTTTGACTTTTTTTTTTATTAACGAATAAAAAATGATGTGTCATAATAATATTGTGCCAATATATGTCCTGCCCACTCAAAGTGACGGGAGTGAAGCGTTAGGTATTTGTAACTCCGTGTGTTTTACTGAATTATGTTTAGGAAATGCTTGTCATGGCACATCCACTAGTAAAAGTTGGAATCATTTTATGTTCTTCTCTCCATGAGCATATTGTTCAACCCTCCTCTCTACTTTTAAAATGCGTAGGACACCTTTGGACAGACTGTCCTATAAAGGCTATTGCTTCACTCTCTCTAGGACAGGTTGTCACACATTGAAAATGGAACATGGAATGGACTTGCTTCGTCCGTCAACTTTTAGCAGTGGTTTTGTACTCAACTATCATCTCACAGCGCTCACCGGATGATTCGTTGTTTTAGACATATCTATTCTAGGGCTCTTAGAATATTAATGTCTTCATCAACTGTCGAATGGGCCAATGTTAGTTCGTCTGTATGATGGCTGTTTGGGCCCTGAAATTTGGGTTTTATTGTATAATTTTCTATTAATATAACATTTACCTTCCAAAAATATATATATATATATATTTTACAAGGCTTCATAATTTTTGTAGATCAAGTCATTATTGATACACATGGAACCTTTCATTGCCACTTCTTCTATGTTACCTGTTTAGCAAAACATGATCAAATAGTTTGCCCCTCACAATCACAAATGTATCAATTTGTGCATTTATCCATTGAATGAGCTGTGGGTATCACCTCATTTATCAGACCCGACGGAATAGCTATTAATTGGCCCCAAAGAACAGGTAAATGAATACTTTTAAAAAGCTTAAACACGTATAGGTAGAAAATTAAATGATAAAAAATAGAATCCTCTTCTTATAGAGAAAGAATTAGGGAATTTACCCAATGAGAAGGGAAAAAAGTAATGGAAAAATCTGAAAGAATTTCATAAATTCCTCTATTGGGAGGAAATTTCACTGGGTAGCAATCGGGAATGTGTTGTTACCGGAGATGCTACCATGACTGTCCTCACAAAGGTCCAGTGCCCTCTCCAAATTAGCCACAATGTCACTCATAGTAGGCCTCTCTTTACCCTCCAAGTTCACACAATGCATGGCAGTGTATGCCACCAGCTCAACCGCCTCGATTTCGTTCATCGCCGGTGGTCCTATTCTCTCATCCAACACACTCTGTAGCTCCCCTGTCGATATCCGGGGCACTGCATATTCCACCACCCCCATAGGACCCGACCCGTCGTCCTTGAATACAGCTCTCTTCCCTGTCAAGAGCTCCAACAGTACCACTCCTAAACCATAAACATCACTCTTCACTGTCAAAATGTTGAGTACATAGTATTCAGGATCGATGTATCCAACTGTCCCTACTGCCTTGCTTGACATGGTTTCCTGATCAGACTCGGGACCCTTTAGAGACAATCCGAAATCAGACACTTTTGCTGTCCAGTTCGCGCCCAGAAGTATGTTTGAGGACTTGATGTCTCTGTGAATTATGGGTGGCACTGCATAATTGTGGAGATACTCAACTCCCCTGGCCGCGTCTAACGCGATTTTGATCCTCATTTTCCAAGAATTCAAAATGCTGCTACTGATTTGGACGTTGTTCTTGCTATGCAGATGATCATGTAGTGATCCATTGCTCATGTACTCGTACACTAGAAGCCTCTCATCTTTTTCTTGGCAAAATCCCAAAAGCTCGACCAAGTGTTTGTGATGAAGGCGTGACAGTAACAACAATTCAGAATCAAATGCAATTTCTTTCTCACGAAATTTCTCTGTTTTTACACCAATTTCTCCCCTTTTAATGGCCACTTCGCGCCCATCAGCAAGCTTACCTTTATAAACCGTGCCGAAACTCCCACCACCAATCTTGTTTTCTAATGAAAAATTGTTAGTTGCGGCAGCAAGATCTGATAGTGAAAATTTATCTGCTTTTTCCATGTGCCTCGAAGAAGTCCCACTCCTTTGGCGGCTCAGTTTCAGCGACCTATCTCGCTTGACAGAGGCTGATCTTGAAGGCGGAGCGTCAAAACGATTGCTGGACATGGAGGCAGTGCCGGCATTGGCCCTAGCAACAGTGGGTTGAGCAGCATTATGAACTTTTGGCTGCAAGAAACCACAAACAACACCCCACAAGCAGTACACAGCAGTGCAAATACCTGCAAAAGACCCCACACACCCAACAATGCCAAACACCAAAAACATCCTCTTTCTGCCCTTTGATGGCGGGAATACTGGCTGTGCTGATGGCGACATTGGGGGAAGCAATGCCGGAATTGGAAGCTCAACCTCGCATGACTTGCATATACGCCCAGAACCAGCACAAAGACCATCCGAATCCGGATACACACCACACATGCTACATGAAGCTTGAACACACGGTCCCGGAATCACCATTGGCAATGGAACGACAGTCCCTAAACTAAACCCATTAGACCACCCTAATCCCCAACAAAACAGAGATAAGCTCGTCGTCTTCAATCCACATATAAAATCCATACCAGCCACAATTGACTCAAAAGAACCATATCTCCAAAAATCTCTAGCAAATTCTGATCTTTTCAATCCTCCTCCCCAACAAATCACAACCCCATTTTTCCTCAGAATTGCACAACTCTGATTTACACCCAATGCGACACCTGAGTACTCGAAAGCCGAATGAGAAGGAACATCAAGCTGTCCATTATTATTTCTTCCTTTACAGATCAAAGTCCCAGACTTTGTCACGCCACAAGCATGAGACTCACCAGCAACCAAACTCAACATTGTGAAATTCCCAAATTGTCTTTGAATCTCAGCTCCAATTTTACTACCACCCCAACAAATGACTCTACTGTTGTTCGTCACTATCCCACAAGAGAACCCTCCACCGGAGGTGATCGTACTGAACTTCGACGCCACCTCCGGTGACGGAAATCTCCAGCATAAGGCCAAACTAGTGATGGCCTCAATTGCACAAATTTGAGTGTCTCCGACCGTTAATTCAGTTAACCGGCGGTGGGTACTGTGATAAATTCGCTTAGGTTGAAAAGTGGCTGTGTCCCAGCAGAGAAGGCTGAGGCCGCCGGATATAAGGCCACAGAGCAGGTCGCGGCCCCCGGAGATGGATTCATAGGAGATGTTTGGTTCGATAGAAAATGTTTTACCGGCATTGTAGCATTGAATTGTCTGGATGGGCTCGCCGGAGATTATGCCACAGACGGTGGTGGAGTTGCGGCCGTAGCTGACGGCGATAGTGGAGCTGCAACCGAGACCAGTGACGGACGGAGGCGGAGAGCCGGCGGCGATGAGGATGATGATAGCGATGGCGATGGTGGGGTATGAGGAGAAAGGTGTCTTCATGTGAAACATTGGGATTGCAAGGAGTGGAGGGTGTTTGTGCTTTTGTTCTTCATTGGATGAGAGAGAGAGTAGAGAGAGAAAGTACACATAAAAAGACAATGATGAAGATAGTGAGGTGAAAGGGAGTCGCAGGTGCGGAGAGTGTGGTCCAGTTAACGTGATGTTTCTAAATTAGGAGTGCAATTTAAGAATTTGACAATAACTTGAGCTCAACTCTAACTTATTAAAAATACTCAATTATTACTCACCTTCCCATTTCATATAAATCAGAAGGTAGCATCATCAATACCAATTTAAGAGTTTGACAATAACTTGAGCTAACCCTAATTTATTGATAACACTCAATTATTAGTCACCTTCCCAAAGTCCCACATATTCGATTGCATTCTATATAAATCAGAACCCAACATTCTCAATACCAATTTTTTCTCACTTACATCATACTATCTCATGTGTCCAACCGTTCGTTATAATCATTTTCCAATTATAAAATTTAGAGGGTTAAATGTATGCAATTTTTGTTGTCAACGGCATAATGGCGTTGACAGAAATCTGAAAAGTAAATTCATGAAGTCTCATTTCGAACCACTCCTAACTTAAATAATGCTTGTATTGTGAAGTCGATACACGTGCTCTAAGAATATATATATATGTGTGTAATTTTTGTTCTACATGTAAATGTGAATGAGGGTTTTTTTTTTTTTTTTTTAACTTGTGACTTTCAAATTCAAATAAAATAATTTATTGCTGCATTAACCTATCACTTGTCACTTTAGGTCACAAGCAAAATGAATAATCATGTGAGGAATAAGTTGTTACAATAACCCCATCATTTGCTGTCCATTTATTTTCATATAAATTAATTGAATTGTGGTTGCTTTTTGTTATATATTTTTCTCAAATTCTTATACTCTTTTTTTAAAAACATTTTAAATGATGTTTAGTAATCTCCTTTTCTTTTCTTTTTTTAACTGAACTAGACTTGGTATTTCTACGAATCATATGCAACCTAAATTGAAAGAAATGTTGGTATCAGATTATTTTATTTTTAATTTTCCGAGCAAGAACGAGCTTACAACAAAGGAAAGTGACAAAAAAACATGAGCCAAGCTGGACAATATTTCATGTTCATAGTTTTTAATCTGTGTGGGTTTGAATGTGAAAGATTGTCCAAAGCTCCACATAGATAAGGACATGTTTGCATCACTTCTTAAACAACCGTGTTTAATTTCGGATTAAAAAAGCCAATTATTATCACTAAAAAACAAGAGTACTCGTCCATATCACCATATCGTCAACCATTATTTGGTTCACGAGAAAGTGGCTAATTTGGAATGACGTGAAGAATCTACTTGCTAATGATATTTACAGCTAAGTATACTTACTCTCCATAATTTGATTTGATGGACATCACACACACATATACACAGGTGTGTGTGTGTATGTAATTGACTACAAGTGAAAATGAAACTCTTAAAAGTCTCAAGTCTCAAGTACTCGACCATAAAAATGAGAATACCAAAAGATACTGCAGCTGGCCATCCTTGTAGCATTCCTCTTCTTACAATAGTCCAACATAGTGATGTCGGACCTCTTAAAATATTTTGTAATTTATCATTATACATATGTAGTTTGTCCGTCTCACATACCCTCGCCCCCAGGTAATTACTAATTTTTTTTTTTTTTAAAAGGTTTTTGCCGAGTAAATTTTTGAATTTCTTTAAGAGAAAAGAGCAAATTATTGTAGGCTCAAGATAATATGTGCAATTGTGGGACACCCACCCTACCTTGGAGGATTGGGATACAAAAATTTGACAAATGTTCCTTTTCCTAAAATTTGTTGTCCTAAAAGTTAAGAAGCACGGACACCCCTTTCAAAAATTCCGTATCAGACACGTGTCCGATACTTTTGTGAAGTGCTCAGAAATTATTTTTTATTAGACACGGGATAAACACATGTGGGACACGCGAAGGACACGTACCGGACATGCAAAGGACACCGTCCGGACACAGTGGGGTATATTTTGTAATTTTTTTTAAGAAAAATGAGGTACTTAATGTAATTTTAGAAGTTTAACTCTTTTGACTCTTTTGTTCGAAATTCTGAACTTCTATTTTTATTAAATTTTATGATTCAATGTTTATTTTTTTATTTTATTCATTCATCTTAGTACTGGAATTAATAAACTTTTAGACCGTAACAAGAAAAACAGAGAAAAATCAGAACAATTATATTTGTGGATGTGTGTAAAATGTGAACTGTAAAGTTGTTGATAACTTTGCTTTATTCTTAATTATTTGAAGTATTTCTTTTATTGCAATATTTTTTTAGGGAGGTTAGATTTATGGTATTGTGGATTTTGAATATATATATACTAGTAAAATGCACGTGCGATGCACGTGTTGAATGTTTTGTAACTTATGATATATTCGTTGTATGATATTGTTGGATATTAAATGAGTTTTTATCAACAATGTTTAGAGTGTATTAATTGTCATCTCAATGAATTTCTAAACTATAACTCTTTGAAAATAAAAGTATTCATATGAATAATATTTAGAAAGTAATAATTGTCACATCAAAAGAAACAAAATAAGGGTTTTCCATTAATAAATGAATGAAAATTATAAACATTTAAAAATATATATGAAAATTAAAATTCTATAATTTACAAAACATTCATAAATATATACTATATAAAAATTCTATATATTATAAAATTCGAAAGGGTACCAACAACGTATAGATTGTAATAATTGTCACCTCAAAAGAAACAAAATATATTATAAAATCCAAAACTATAACTGTTTGAAAATAAAAGTATTCCTAAATTATTTATTTCTCAATCTTTATCTTTTTTGCATATCTCATTTCTTCAAGAAATAAATCGTTGTCAAGTGTCAATTTTTTTAATTCCTCTACCGCAAAATAAGTTTTCATGACTTGTTGAATATTGTCTATCTTCACCAAAAAAAGAAAAGATTTTCTTTTGCAGCTTGTCACTTTGCTGCTAAATTCATCCATGTCTTGCAAAAAAAAGATATATAATTTAGAGTTATTGAGAAATTCAAGTAAATATTTTTTTTTTAATTTAATTAAAATTTTATGAATAAGGGTGGGAAATTACCTCAATTTGTAATTGTAGTAAATCATCTAGTGAACAATTTATTAATGTTTGGCAATCATTGAACACCGTTAGGGTTGCAAGTGTTGCAATATGCTCCATATTTCGCACTTTAATTATCACCATGAATCTGCACATGAGTAAAGACAAATAATTATGTATTTGTAATATTATTAAACCATTGAAATAAATACAAAATAAGGTTTTAGGATACAATAATACTTTTGAATGCATTTTGGGTCTGTTGTGTTGCATCGAGGACAGTATACTCTATTTTTTTCAACTTTTATTTTCTTGTTGCATTTCTCATAGGCGTCGTACCACGGTTCGCGGTCATTAACGACATTTTCAATTGTTGTTTCGAAACAATAATTTGTTTTCTGCAGGTTATGCAACAAAATATAACTTCTCAATATATAAATTGAATAAAAAAAAAATGTGATATACAATTAAGAAAGATTAAGAAACATACTAAAATTTAATACCTCAAAGGACATTGTAGATTTTCCTATTATGCCTTCAAGTTTGACTTTTTCAACACCATTGAATTATTGATCTTTTGTACTGGAAATCAAATTTCTTATATCTTTGTTATTTATGTTCTCTTTGGACCTGTCCACATATAAATTATCTTGTAAAATAATTAAATAAATAAAACAGAAAAACATGTTTTCTTTCTACAAATAGTGTATATTTTGCACCAAGAAGTCTGCAATATAAAAATATAAAAACAAATATTATCTGGCATATATGTTTAGTTATGTATAAACATGCTCAAAGAAAAAGATTACATATAGTTTTATGAATATATATATAATGTAAAAGAAGTTGGAATAAATAACGAACCAATGTCTTAATGCTTTGACACTTTCAATATCCATATTGATTTGCAATGTAGATCATTTTTGCGTTTGAAGAGACAGACCTGGAATATAACATTATTATTTGTAAAAGTTTGTAATTATAGATTTACTTAATAATATATAATGTAAATAATATCGATTTGTATAATAATTTACCTTTGTAAGTGTTGATTGCCACATGTGTAACTGTGATAATAGATCTTTCTTATTTTAGATCAAATATGGTACTTAATTTAAATATGTTTGTTCTCAAGTGTGGAAAGAATTATTTGGTCCATTATTTGGGTTTGGTTTAGGTTTTGAATCCCTTCCTGCTGCAATTGTGACTATTATTATATTTTGTGTGAGTAGTATAGTATAATTTGAATTTATTATATTTTGTGTGACTAGTAGTATATTGCAAAATTTAGTACTACACTTGATCTTAGCCAAAAGGCCGAGAAGGTATGATTATTATTTCTTTAACTCTATAGTTTTATACGAGGCTTTCATGTAATCCTTTTTACTTAAAATCAATGTAGGACTTTGTAATTTGAATTAAACTCTTTTTATATTTTGTTAATTTGAATTAAATTTAATTTTATTAGGTAATTTTGAGTTTTATAGAATTTTTATCGTAAGATATAATAATTAATGAGAGCTATTTATTGTGAATTAAACTCTTTTATATTAACTTTGAGTTTTATAGAAATTATATCAATTAATAAATAAATACTGAAACTCTTTGGACAAAGGCCGAGAAAGTAGTACTATACTTGATTTTAGCCAAAAGACTAAGAAAAGTTAACCAAAAGGCCGACCCAAAAAAATTTAGTATTACACTTGATCTTAGCCAAAAGGTCGAGAATGTGCGGTTATTATTTCTTTAACTCTATAACTTTATAAGAGGTTTTCATGTAATCCTTTTTACTTAAAACCAATGTGGGACTTTGTAATTTGAATTAAACTCTTTTTATATTTTGTTAATTTGAATTTTATTAGGTAATTTTGAGTTTTATAGAATTTATATCAATTAATAAATAAATACTTATTTTGTTAATTTGAATTAATTTTAATTTTATTAGGTAATTTTGAGTTTTATAGAA